AGTCTCTGGTAGTCTTTTTATTATTGACATTGTTGTCATTTTTGAAATCCCTCTTAGTAGACGACAAAGTTGCATTGCGTTCATCTCCACTTCCACTACCGCTACCAAAAAAATCTAAATCTTCATCATCAGTATTAGGAACACTTCTTTTCGAAATGTATCCTTGCGTTGTTATTTGAAGTGGAATGGTTTTTATCGAAATGTTTCCTTTGTTATCTGTATATATGGAAATGTTCCAATTTTTCTCTGCATCGTCCTCTCCTTTAATATCACCATCATTATCAGAAAAATCCTTATACTCATCATCAACATTGTGGTATAAGTCAATGATATCATTATCAACAAATGAAAAATCATCTTTTTTGGGGAATTTCGAAGTGGGGGGCAATTGTGTTGACAGATGATAGATCTTCTTCCTGCCAGGTTCAGCAGGATCTACATCACTTTTGGTTTGACTTTTGATAGCATTTCCACCCACGAAAAAGTTATCATAACTTTCAAAACGATTTTGAATATTGTTTGGGATGACCCTTGCATTCACTTCATCTACACTGGCATGAACTATGAATGACAATCCAAATAAAATTCTTGACAGCGAATCCATATCGATCTGAAATGAAAAGATACATTCGTAAATAACTTAAAAAAAACACGAAATTATAAATTGCTAAATGATACTTCAATTCAGTAATCAGTTGGTAACTGGTTGGTTAGTGAATTCCAATACGCACTGTTGAAAATATTGGTTCTATCCCGGTCCTGAAATACGATGGGTGATTTGCCGCACGTTAAAATCTTGAGCTCGCTCAAGTTTCGACTTCTGAGAGTTGTCGTTCGTAGGGGGCGACAGCTAGTTAACGGAAAACCCATTTTTTACACTTTGTTAGTGACACCACGAAACCCGCCAACGAAAATATTTGAACATATAGATTCCTCCACTTTGAAACCTCCAAATGTATAAGTATAATAGTACTTATATCAGCATATAATTACCATAGATATTTTTTCGTGAATACCAAAAATTCACTTCAATTAATTTTTTTTCTGAAATACAATACGTCTGGTGATGCGGTACAAAAGAGGAGAAATGGACAAAAATTGAATTCTTCGAAGATGGCCACTCTCTATAAAAAGTTATATTTGTTAAATATACCACCTGAATTGGAACACCTCAGGAAGACAGCTTTTATTTCAGAAGTAAGGGTAATGACATCGACCGACGACGAGATTCGTCATATGCATTTCTCTGCAGCGCTCCCTGCAAGGCAACTGAAAATAAGAGCCCCAGCACAACGTATTTATGATCCAACACCAGAGAGCGCTGTTTCGACCCACTGAAGGTCTCATCAGTGATGCTAGGCTGAACCACAAATTCATTGCTGGTCTCAACTATCAATTGCGCCAGTTCACGTCGGAAATTGAGATACCCAGTCGTGTAAACTTGTATTTTGATATCCTGAAAGTTGTCTCCGAACCTACATATGGTAGGGTGTACGCGACTATTGAAGTCTAAGACCAAAGGTCACAAAAATCGATTGTTTGCAAATGTTTCACAAATATCTCCTTTTCTTTGGGTTTTTTGCTATTTGTATTCATAATCAGTATTGCAGAGGTTTAAACTCTACACAACTCTCATATTACGTTGGATCGTTTTTGAGATGAGAGCGCGCGGTTAGAGTAGCATTTATGTTCAACAAGTAGTTCTGGTCAAAAACACACCATACGAAGTTAATTAATCATTGATGAATGCACAATCATTAAGAATTTTCATTTCTTATCAACTGTTACATTATATTCAAAAATTATTTTACTTCTCTATTTTTAATTCAGAATTAATTTATATAATATTGTTACTAATGATTAGATTAAAAAATATTCCATACATTTGGGATTGTGGAAATAAAAGAGTTGAATAAAAATTACAAGAACTACAACTTATAACTTCAATTATCTTCTTCTTCATCGTCGTCTTCCGACCGCTATAGTATTTCAAAGTCCACTTCTTTATCGTTTTCAACGACATTGTCTCCAGGCCATGATTTCAGGGTCAATAGATATGTCTTCATTGACTTCGCTCTGGTATGGTAAAGCATTGAGACAAGCTTGTCCATTACACTGGCCACGAGCTGAAGAACACTGAAACCTCAATTTCCTGTATCCATATCGTTAACCACAACCACTCTTGTAGTTGCAGTATATTGTGTTGAGCAATTCCTTTGGAGCAGGTGCTGAATATTGTTGGTGGAATATTTGATAACTGCATAGATTCATTCATTTTTGTAGACTTGATGTATTGTGCATAACGAAGATGATCGATACTGTTCACAGATTTTGGAGCATTATAGATCGCTAACAAAATTGGAATTCCATTCTCAAATAATGCTGCAAGCTGACTCAAATTCGGCGGTTTCACAAACGCCCAGGCATCGGTTTTCTTAAAAGAGATAAATGTCTCCGAATCGGATATAATAATGTATCTGCATCATATTTTCTGCATCATATTTGATTTCTTAGACAGCAAATAATTCAAATTGGGACAATGAAACCTTTCTTATCCTTTCTGTATTAGAAGTTTTCAAAATATACATAAGTACCTCAAAATATTGAAGTGAAGTACTCCTGAAACATTTTTAAGAAAAAAAGGCTATGTTGTGTCCGGAAATGCTTCGTTTTGTTCTTTTTAAAAAATACCTTTCGCAAAAAATTAGTTATTTGCACAAAAATTGGGTACCCAGGGTACCCAAGGTACCCTGTTGTCGTTTATTCCAAATTACCCTAACTTACAATATTTAAATTANAAGTTACATTGGAAATAAGTTTTAGGGGTTGCGTTTTCCACCCTATACAACCATGGGGTAAACCAAATAAATTTCTGGCTAAGTGTCTTTTTGGTAGTACAAAAGTCAGCTTAATTTCAATATTGTAACTTTCTTGGTGCTTGTGAAAAAAATTCTTATACAAATTTTATATACCCTCTTTAAGGAGGGATGCTCCAAAGAAATTTCTTTATATGAAAGATCCTATATTTTTTTCGATGAGGAATCACCTCCCTGAATGTTTTACACTTATTTAGTTACACCCTGATGTATATACATAAATGTGTTGAAACATCCAAGTATTCGTTGAACTGATTAAAAAATGATAGTAGTACTTACTGAATTTCTATGTCTGAATTCAACCAACGAAATAGAACCAATTCGGCATAATAAACAATGATCACATCCAGATATGTGTTATGTCAATAGTGGTATTATTGGCACACTGTTCTGCACCGTACGGATTTGATAACTACTTGCAGTTTATCTAAAGAGGTACGATTAATACATTTTATCTTTTGTAAACATGCATATACGTGAGTTTATTTGCTATGGAATTTTCGTCACAAAATTATATTTCTTTCGAATTATCAACTGGTAACCACATGTTGAATGTCCATTCTGTGATTTCATTTCTTCGTCTATTGGTCTAGAAAATACAGTCGATCATTATTTTGCGGTTTTATGTATTAGTCATTTGTCCGACATTAGGTATTACACTGAGAGAAATGCAGCTGTGAGACCATTTTTATTTTGCATATCGCGCTATTTATCGCAAAGAAAAAAGTGATATTGATATAAATAACGCTGTAATGCTGAGAAATGTTGGTAGGTAGCCAGACTGTTCGACGTGGGTGCTTTGTTCACTCAACCGAATTGACTGCCGTGTTGGTCTGAGGTTCAAGCCATAGTCTGAATGATAGATTTTCACTTGCTATCGCCCAACCCGTGTTAGGAATCATATGTTAAAAAGTAAGAGCTCGTTAATCCTTAGCTCGCTAAAGTTTCGACTTCTATGGGGGTGCGACAGCTGGTTAACGGAAAAACATGTTAAACAGAAACAGAATTCCACCGGTACTGGGTAGGCGGTTCTCGATTGAAGGCAAACGGTGAAAAACCAAGACGAGTACTTCATCGAAATCGAACTGAAATATAAGTGTAACCAAAAGGTTACACTCTCAGATATAAATCAAATTGTGGATGATCAGAATAGTACTGTGTTTGTTTGAAGGTGATTGACAATGTTTCGTGGTGTATTACATCAGTTCGGACTTCCATTGTCTAATATAATATAAATTGATTTGAACACCCTGAAAAAAACAATTGAAAAATTAATAAGATTAACCGAAAATAACAATTTCATTAAACAAAAAACTGAAATTACAAAGAATTAACATACAA